CGTGGGTTTGATCTCTGGACATCAAGGACCGATCCCCTGCTCTCTACCACTAGATCAGCCTACTCCGGGGGTAGAACCGACCTAAGTTAATAGCTTCCACAAAAACTCTTGAAATTGTTTAAGTTAATGTTTTTTTTTTTATTTGAATTTCCAAAGAATCTAAATTTCTTGGAATTGCTTTTGGAATCATACACGGATTTAAATAAATTCGACTAGGGCTTAGTGATGTGTTATATGTCCAATGATTGAAACATTTATTTATTATTTATATTTTGTTATGTTGTATTTCACACGGAAATGCTGTACACATGCTCCTTATTATAACCAATCCAAATAATTCTTGCGTTGACAAAATGAATACAAACAATAACAAAGAGTAAAGAGTTTGTCCAGAAATATCCTATCCCAACGTATGGTAAAGTGATGCATGGGCGGGACAGGTCAAACTGTAAAAAGTAGAACAAACTAAACAACTAACTAGTTACAACTACAGGAAAATTAGGTTAATTAAAAGCCGTACCTCCTCAATGAAGTTTAAAATCAAGTTAAAGTAAGGAAATGTGTATCAAACTTCAAGCCTTCAAGCTCTTAAATTGGGTTAAGTTTTCGTCAAACTTAGACTACTCAAGGTTAATGAAAAGCATTTTTATATGGATCAGTGGTAGAAGCTTTAAAGTGTTAAACTTTTATTTATAAACTTTATTTAAATGTTTTTTGTTTCGTACAGCTCCATGGAATAACTCCTTTAAATTAAATAATGTGTTAACAACAATTAATAATGGAAGGAATATAACTGTAGAAACACTATATTACTTGTGTTGTAATAATTTTAGCAACAACATATTTTAAAGCCAATCTCTATTACCATGGATAAAATGTCAACGGCAACGACACGTGGATTTCCACATTATTGAGTAGGTGAATTATTTAGGAGGTTTAGGTTGGGATTGATACTTTTCACATTCGTTTGACGGTTTTAATATGTAAATATGTTTGAATTAAACTATGTTTTACATTGATAGAATTAATAAAATGTTCGTGGGTTCTTGTGATATTGACATAGAGTTAATAGTCAACAAGGGATTGTCGATGTCAAAGCATCCAGTATAGATTCGGTGTTTTGTTACAGAAAATATTAGAAAGCAGATTTTCCCAAATATTTAAATCGGAGAAAAGCTTAAACTTATTACCATTATTAGTAGGGGAAGTAGCGGATAATAAAGTTATTTAACCTGTTCAATATATCAAGCTTATTATTTATGCTTTTAAGTTAGTGTAAACTGGTCCGGCCTACTGTCAAATTGTGATAAATGTTTACAGCAGACCTATCTTATATCTGCAATCGAATCTTAAACCACTGTTCTTCGGAAAAGTAAACTGACACTGAAACCCTATTCTGATTATTTTAGCTAAATAAATTTCAGATTGTTATATTTATTTAGTTAAATCATTATCCTTTGTGCTTTAGCTATAATTTATGTCTTAAGACTTTCGAACACATATAAAATATACTAGATCAGTAAACCTAAATTAAACAAATTTGTCTCAAGGTAGAATCTAAATATAGTGATTATAGACAAATTATTTTTAACTGTAAGCGCTGATTACCAGATATGACAGACATTACAATAACTATTTTACTGCAATGAGAAAACCTGACAAAAGAGAGACGTACTTCAATAAAACATCGCTGCTTTCGGAAATCGTGAAATGTTCAGCCTCCAACAAAACCACTTCAATACATAATCTTGTTTGTAGTTTAAAAAGCTTTTTTTAATATGTTTTACCTTCGTCAATACAGATCACAATTTATAACTGTAGTCCTATGTTATAACGGTCGTATTGACATTATAATGCCATCATCTGACACATGAATATTTAGTCTAAAGCTAATTCGTTGAAGTCAAAACACATAACACGTAAGAAAATGTACAAAATCAAACAGGTTTGTCGCACACACTGTACATTCACACCGGTAGACATTGCCGCAATTTGAGTTTTGAGAAAGGCATTCAAATTATTTCGTTGTACCAGTATTATATACAGCTCAGAAGATAAAACGTGGATTTTAATTTAATAAATCGATTTAAACTTAAAACAACCGTAATTGACATTTTTCAATTCTTCGACATGATTTGAAATTGTCTTTAAATATATAATGGAAAATTACCATTTAGCGACAAAACGCTTCGATATTAAAAAGAAATGTTCATGCAATTTCACGAATATTATAAGAGACTTGGGTGTAATAATATTAGGTTAGGTAAAAGCTTAGATAATGTAAGAAAGCACACAACCCACCTGCTCTTATATGAAACCTTACGAGATTTTGTTGCAAGGAATATCATATTAAGGAACAGTATATTATATTACAAAGGCAAACCAAATTATTTCATAGCCATGAACATTTTTTAAATAGTTAGAAAATGAAGTGTAATCGATTACCTGCCAAACATATTTTTAATTTCCAGCAAAAATTCAATATCACATTTACATTAATTTAGAATAATAAACAGATTATAAAAATTAATTGGATTTACATCAAAACTAAATATACTAGGTACAGTACCACAATTTGATCAACCATGTGAAATGAATTATTAATATTGTTATCTTGAACTTGGCCTGGCAATTATTTGAATTTTAAAAAGGAAGTAGTCGTGTCATCTGCTTCAGTTAAACTGTACCGGAATATGTCGTACGAATGTGTAAATGTTAGGTACTGCTTACAAGATATAATTCCTTAATTTTAATTTTTGGTATTTAATTATTTAAAACTAAAATTGTCAATTCTGTAAACTCTAAGCCAAATCAAATGCACTAGCCTATAGTAGTATCTATATAATTAATACGCTACATGAAACTTTGTCGGTTGAACTCCTCCGCCATTTCTTAACCGATTTTATCCATTGACGTCTCATTGGAAAGAGCGTGTCGCTTAGATTTGCAAACTGGCCTTACATTTTTGAAAACACCCCTTGGGGTCTGCCCCAGTGGCTTTGAAAGTTCCCGTGTTATCCTTATGGAGAACATAATTGTTTACATTTTGATCAGCTGTATAATTTAATTGCTGTTATTTATTTTGCAATTCAATGAAACGCATTGAGTACATTTATTTACTATTTGAGTTTGTGTAAACATAACCCCAAGACGGATCGTGTTAGTATGGTTGTATCTTAAATTTGTGCGTTTATCGTTGTTTTGTGTAGCTATAATTTGTTTATTTGTTGTTTTTCTTTTAAATGCCCCCGACGCGACGACAACGAAACATAGACAGGAGGCGTAACCGTGATAACGACCGCAGCTACAGAACAGTGGCGCGTAATAGGCTTAACTCATCACAGTCAGCACCTGACCCTGGACAATCTCAACTATTAAGTTACAAATGCGCCCTAACACTACCCCAAAACGACTTTTCGTTCTCAATTGGCCCTCACTGACCTGTGTTGCCTGTACAGCGAGGCATTTTGAGAAGGAGAAAACCGGCTGGAATGCTTTAGGTTTATGAATAACGAAGATAAACATGGTCTGAGTTACACTCCGGTAATCTTTGAGTCGACTCTTTTAAACTCATTGTAAATATGACTGTTGTTCGTTTTGAAATAACTCCTGTAATACTTTCCAATTGCTCGAATTCGAGCAACATGTACACTAGTATGGATAATAAGTTGCAAGTTGCGATGACGGCTTGATCCCCCAAGAGTCTTCGTTGAACTTAATAGTAGTATAGCTTAAAGTGGGCTCCAAACCCAACATATTATACCATGGCAATATCACTTAATTTTACGTTATAAGTGATGGTTGGTATTGAGACCGGACGAGGCCTGTAGGACAGACGTTCCACGGTACAACCACCGCCATTGTCGCTATAAATGATGGTACCATAGATAATTATGGTATTAATAAATTTGCGAGTTTCATTAGTGAGTAAGGAATCATAAAGTAAGTGGGATAACATTTTTGGGACTAGATTTTATTTTATCTGTGTTCTGAAATAAACATTGTTAACAGTACAGTAAACATTGTAGGAAACATTGTATACAGTAACATACAAAATAGTGTTTAGAGACAAACATAATAGACTAAGCTCAATATCAATTGAACATGGAGTTCGTGGAACTATGTACTGTATCGGTAGTTGAAGGTTCAAATGTGGTATGACCATAAGCTACATAAATACTACTACTTTTCTATTCCACAACAACGTGATAAATGAAAATACTAAAGGAATATAGAAAATATGATAAGCAAACCAATTCAAGTAAACACCGCAAAAGGTTCATGCACAAAACATACCTATTCACATTTATAAACATATTTTGAAATTTATTTTAATTTAGGATTTATTAACGCAATTAATAAATGTGAATTTCATTTTTAACTTAGATTATAAATACAGTCATTACTATGATAGCTTGTTATATAATGTGGTATTCTCTAATATTCATACAACTATTACACTGCAACTCTAAATCGGTAATTTTTACATGACAGTAAAATAAAATTTCTGCTTACTGATAAAACTGTAGACGATTTCACTGTATTGTAGATTTTTATTTTATTGAATGGAAAGAAATTCAAACTTCATTGAATTGCTGAGTGCATTCAAAGTATTCAACACAGCAAGTGGACTTAATTTTCCCTGGAATAAGTTAACTTTGATTCGTATTGTATTGTTTAGATTTGATTCATTGGTGGTTAAATAATATATATATATATATATATATATATATATAGTTTTCATTTAGGTATTCTTTTTGATTCGTGTGAGGATTGGGTAATTAATGGTAAATGGAAATATTTTGGCCCAATGTTAAAGTATTAAATGGAATTGCTAATATAAAGGCTGATATAAAAATATAAGGGTAGTTCATATTTATTTATACCTAAAATGGCGTAAAATGTGACGTTACCCAACCGATAGCTGTATAATATTGTATAACTTTAGTTATATAAATACCACAATGGCTTATTCTAATCACATTTACTTTTTGTTGCAGATGGCGAAAGCAATCAGATAAAACTTCAATAGCCATGGTAGGTAAATACTTGGATTTCCAGAAACAGATTAACCTTTGACAAGCAAGCGCGAAAGAAATGTGTTTTCTGCTAAGAGTTGGAAAATTTAATTTAAAAGGACTTAACTGTGTTCAAAATAAATTGTAGTTATTTTCTTGGATGGGTACTATAAAATATGAAACTTTAAATAATCTAAGTAAGGTCAGTTCAATAAAAGAAAAAAAGAAAATATTTTGATTATTTAATTACAATTTCACTGAATCAAGGCAAAGTCTATTTCAGAAATCTTTTTAGCGTTTTATTACAATTTACAATGTTAAAAGAACATCATGTTCAAAGTGACACGCCTTTCACATGAAAATCCTGCTTAGTTGAAGTTAGGACCTCATGGCTCATTCTTACATGGCCTCTAAAGAATTCCTGATCTACATTTGTCTAATCACTATAGTACAATAGTAAGAGGTTCATGGATGATGAATTTAGTAGTTGGTATTGTTTGTTAAATCAGCAAACAAATATTTTTTTGCAAGGAATTCATACATTGTTTTAACAACAAATGATAATTTTTAAAGCGCATAACTGCTCAACATGGAGAATAATAAATAATAAAATAAAAAATAATGGAATAATAAAAGGTACACAGTGTAAGATGAAAATGGACAGAATTCCTAGTATTTGTCAAGGATAACCAGACAAAAACAAGGTAATACATTTTCGTCACTGACGCAAGAAAATCCTCGCATTTCACATACCAGAAACGGGTTTTGCTAAAACATCTTAGTGAAATATTTTATTTTATTAAATACGATGTATAAAATTCATTTTTAAATCTAAAAATTTTATATAATAACCAAGCCAGCGATAGGCCTATAGAAAGTTAATGTGGTAATTTTTACGCATAAAATATAGACCTTTATTTCTCAGAATTTCTAAATATTTTAAACGCTAATAATTATTTAAATGATATACATAAATTAACTAGAACATGATCACTGCTTATTATTAAGATGATGAATTATAACCACACCTTTTTAAGGTTGATTACTAGTTAAACTACAGTGAACTGTAATAAATCCCTAAATTTATATCCAAATATATAAATTGTGTATTTCTGAAGGGTATTTGAGAAAGAAACATCTTACATATCTAAAAGCAAACAAATGCCAACGGTTAAGTAAATATAATCTTAGTACAAATATTCAAATGTTCCTCAGCAAGATACTTAAACCTGGTCTTTCGGTGTTCCTACAACTAAGCTCTTTTTCATACACATGCGATAAGCTTTTCCTCTTACTATACAAATTTACAACACTAGCATTTAAATACACTATGGCAGTGTTATACTCTTATATAAGCATCTAGTATTCAGCTCACAGTTATCTGTATTGCAATGAAATGTTAAACATGCGTAAAATGATTATTTTTTAAATCCCCGAATAAAAAGTAGGCTACTAACATATTGCATGTATAAAAATGTACTCTTCATTTAGTATGTTACATACCATTATTGCCATGAATTGTCTCTGGGAAGACAAGTCTGTTTATATTCCAGGAGCCAGGATACCCCGATGGCAGCGAGCAGGATGTCTACGTACAGCAAAGGAAACAGGATTGTCTCCTGCGAATACACAACTCTACTGGCTCTGGTGGGTTGTGTATATTTTAAACTGATAAGGCATTCCTTTAATTTTAAGTAATACAAATAATATCCAAAGATAAAACTAACAATACTTATTTCCTAATAAATAAATAAGCGTTTGCTCAAAAGTAAAATGTTGGTTTTGGTTTGGTTTGTGTAAATATGTAGGGTATTTCATGTGTAAATAGGGAGATTACAAATTTAATTGTAGTTTTTGGAAAGTTTAAGGGCTACTGTAAAACTATTAAATCACTGGATAATAAGAAGTCTAACAAGCAACAATACTCGGTAAAATCGAGTAGTTTATACTTATATTGTTATAGTTTACAAGACTATTATAAAGGGTGTATATTACCTCTCTACCGACATTTAAGGAATCATTCTTGAACCACACACAAACTTAAATATTACATTAACTATTTAAACAAATTAAAAGTATCAGTAGAGGCGCCTTTTTGTTTATAAATAAAATTTTTAATTGATAATGACATTTTGTAATGAATTTATTTTTTTATGTAGATAAATAACACAGAGGCAGATTTTTTTGGAATTTTAAGACAGTATTCGGATTAAAAATGGCAGCCATTCAAAATATTCAAGCTTTAATACTACACAAATTACATAGGCAAAAGAACTACCGTATGAATGTTTTATTTAGACAATTTTTTTGGAGATTTTTTAGTGCAGACCAAACTTTGGAATATCTGTTCATTGATAAGGGAGAAAACTCATTATAAGACATTTGGTATCAAACCCAATATCTTGACAGCTTTCCCGAAAATCATCGTTTAACTCGAATTCCTCCTACTTTAAAAATGCATCAGGCGTAGCTAGTATGAAAAAATATTAAAAAAAAACATAAATGAAATAGTTGACATTATTCACCGATTTTGACCAGTTATTACTTAGTGGTGACTGTCACTAAAAATCATTTAGGTACTGAAGAATAATTTTTTTTATTATTAGTTTCTGCATTATTATTATTTAAAAATAAAGACTGGATTGGTTTATTAATACTTTGTTCATATCCTTAACACTAACTATTCAATGTTTTTTTTTATATTTTTGTGTGATAAATTTTGTTTTAATGCGCTTCCAACTTGTTACCAATTACCAACATACAAACTTTTTGATTTGTTAGAAGTTACAAAAATAATAAAAAAATTGTCTCTGCATATAAGAATGGTTCGAGGAAAATGAACATCTTGAGTAACGTTGGAAGACATATTTCATTTTATCAGTTTGTGTCACCGAAATATACTGTATTTTGAGAATGAATTTATTAAATTACAAAAACAAAAACACCGTAATAGTTAGTTCTAGGTAGTTAGTGGCAAGTAAATATGTTTTCTGTGTCAGTAAGTTTGAATATTAAATATTGTTTCTTTAATGATTGGTTTATTATTTCTAGTATTATACTGAATTTTGAAACATATTTAGCGTTTTTTCACAGCAAGTTGAATGATTATAAAAAATGAGTTTAAGTCTCAAGCCTCAATCTCAAATCTCAAGTTCAGTGAGCTCTCGATTAGTATTAGTTCTATTGTAAGTCTTGACCTAAACACAATATTGCACCTGCAAAACATGTTCCATAACGTACGCTTGGTATGTAAGGGAGTAAACTGTATTCTATTCTACAGCTGAACACTGTCCCCGGGTGTGGGACGGGATGTTGTGTTGGCCCCCAGCTAGACCTGGGACTGTCATTACCCTCCCATGTCCATCGTACATCGTCGGCTTCAACCCCCAGGTAACTAATAATATTCACATATACAATGAGCAAACCATAGCTGAAAGTTCGATTATGCTACACATATGTGATTGTAAAAAATACTTTTAAAAAACAGGGTTCAATATTTGCACGAACAATTACTAATATAGCTTATAATTGCTTTGGATTAGACATTTTACTAATGGTGAATAAGGTAATATTTAAGTCCGAACTCATCTACGTAACTTCCTCATGACCATGAAAAAAACCTGCACCTTCCTAAAACCAGAACTTGACTCAAACCTATCGTTCGTTGTACCCTGAGTTTCAAGACCCAAGAAACGAGCTAGCTACCTCGATCTAGTAAGTGTCTCTGTGCCTTCAACAAACGTCATCTTTGTTCCACCTCAACCCTTGAGAGACTATATTCCCCCCTCTGCACCTCTTCAATCGTCCTGACCTTACTTACCCATCCACCCTTACTGACACCCCCATACCATAACATCTAAAGCTAATAAGCAGCCGCAAGGTGAGCATTACAACTAGCATACCACCTGCTCTCTGGAACAGGAACATAGATGCCTACGTCACCAACTCCATACCACTCTGCGTCTACGTCTGACGGAATACTGCTCTGTTGTCTGGTCTCCTTATCAGTCTTTGCACATCGATATACTAGATAAGATACAAAGAAGATTTATTAGACTGATTGGTCTTAGACTGGGGTACCACTTTCAGGATGTTCCTATTATCACCCTGGAGAAATACTATGATCTGCAACCACTCAGTCTGAGAAGGAAATGTTACGACCTGCAGTTTCTCTTCAAACTCGTGAATGGTATCATCGACTGCACATCTTTGCTGAATAATATAGAATTCTCTGCCCCTAAAGGAACCAGATCCAAAACGTTATTTGCCAGAGGATTCCAAGCAAGGAATTACTCCTACCATCATGGGTTGTCAAGGTTGCTGAGGATGGGTGGAGAGGCTTCGACTCACATTGACTTCTTCGGGATTTCTTCTTCCTCATTCAAGACAGACGCCTCAAGATATTTACAAGGGAGAACATCTTAGAAGCATTTTCCTGCCCTCCTGTGGGAACAAGTGATGTGTAGTTCTTGTTTAGGTGGTGCCTTTAAAGGGCCACACCTTAGTTCTGTTTTGAGGCTGGTGTTACCTCAGCAAGGTGCAGTGCAATATAGGTGGTGCCTTTAAAGGGCCACAAATGAAAGTTGGTGCTTTTTAGCATGGTGTTTGGTGTTTGACACAGTGTTCTTCCCATGTCATGCATGCACACACACACACATACTCCCACAAATTATACTTTTGTTATTACTTTTGTAATATTTTACTGTCTTTTGTTATTATTTTCACAGTTTATAATTTGTTATCTTTGTTGCCATAGTCTATTTTGTTGGTCTTATTTAATCGTTGTTGTTATTGCCTGTTGTAAAGTTACCGTCATTACTGCTTGTTACTTGTTACCATTATTACTAGGCATAGTCTTCTTGTTGTTATTTATTGTAGTTTTCAGGTCCCACTCATGTAATTATTGCCAGCTTCCTTATTTATTATTATTGCACGATTTTTGCACATACACACACACTCCCACAAATTATACTTTTTTAGTACTTCTGTAATATTTTGCTGTCTTTTGTTATTATTTTCACAGTTTATAATTTGTTATCTTTGTTGCCATAGTCTATTTTGTTGGTCTTATTTAATCGTTGGTTGTTATTGCCTGCTGTAAAGTTACCGTCATTACTGCTTGTTACTTGTTACCATTATTACTAGGCATAGTCTTCTTGTTGTTATTTATTGTAGTTTTTAGGTCTCACTCATGTATTTATTGCCAGCTTCCTTATTTATTATTATTGCACGATTTTTGAAACCACTATTATTAACTTATTATTTGCTACTTATGTATAGTTCATAGTTTGACAAAATTGTATTAATGGAGAAACCGTTGGAATAAATAAATAAATAAATAAATAAACCACATCTCACATACTTCTTTAACCTTCTCAACGTGAAGTATCTCGACCGTGCCCTCATCTATAAGATGCTTAAACTGTTTTCCAACCTTGTTTCACCGATTGCTCAGGTTTCACAATCACACAAGTTACCAATCTATCAAATCTAGAAGTATTTATACCTATTGCTAGCCTTGTGGCACCTTGTTAGCACCCTAGACTTATGTATGGGAGGAACGGGTTGGATTTCCGGCACATCCACAACCCGTAGGTTTGGACCGCGTTATTTGAATACTCTGTATAACTCTCCTATTAACTCTCCTGTAAAAATTCCACTGGCGTAGACATCAAGAAGCAATATAACAAACCACAACAGCAAAAACCAAACACTACACCATTCGCCATAACCTTTTGCTGATGCGCTCTCAAAAATCTGTATCCAAATTATCCAACCGTTGTTCTAATATACTGTAACAACTCAATATTTTCACTAATATTTTTTTTTAATAGAATAATTTAATTTCCACCATATGTTTTTCATTTTATCTAAATGTCAATCCCTTTTAAAACCATATATAGTAATTAATTGTCCATGCAGACCAATAGGTAATCAATTTAATACAATACGATATAGAAATTTTCAAATAACATAATTTCATGTAAATATATAATAGCCTATAACTTTTGTAACAAAATTGCTTCAAATTCTATATAATTTTATTTAAATAACTTTTCAAAATTATAATTTAGCTCTCTAGCAAATGAAATTTGTTATAATATATGTGTGGACAGTGACCTTTAATTTTATATTATTAAGTCAGCATTGACATATGTGAGTGCAACAATACATCAGACCATCATCACTTCCAATAGAACCAAGATAGTATGCAGATGTAAACTGAATACTCCATATTTAATATCAAAATTTTATAAAAAAAAGTACATTATTCGGACAAAATTAGTGGAATTTGTTGAAAGAAGACCCATCCTTGTTACGAACATTCATCATTTATAACATCAAGAACTTTACATCAAAGAAGACATCAATTTTGGTGAGATTACTCCAATAGACATTTTCCCCTTTGGAAGCCATTAACACTTTTTTTTTAGGCCTAACCTTTGGACATTTATACTTAAATTTAAAGTCAAGAACTAATAGAAGCTTAACTTATTCAGAACTATTATTAATTCAACCAATCTATAATTCGAACATATTTTATATTTTAAAACAAAATTTAATTAGGCTTATATCACAAGATTAAATTCAAATGCCGCTCGATCACCCCACCTGAGATAAAGATCCTTGCAGTAAATTATAACATTGAACCTAAATAATTAAAACCATTGTAATAGGCCTAGCCTAAAATTTTTCAAGTAAATTCATCTCCCACTGTTTGTACAATTTATTGTGAACCCCCTTTCTTTTCTTTACTATCAGTTTTGTATTATAATTAATAAATTTAAGTTTCGAAATTGTACATGGAGTTTCCATTGTAGATTAAGTTGAAGGTTGATTACAATACAATACAGTACTCATCATTCGTAACACACAGTGCCTATCAAAGTTGCTAACCTATGCAATACTGAAGTGTACAAAGTCCTTGAAATTTATGGTAAAAAGATTCATTCCATTGGACATTTAGAAATCCCTTTTCTATTTGTTGCAGAAGTAAGTTCTCTCCATTTAAGTTTGTAATCACACTTACTCATTACTTTCAAACCGTGCTTTTATGCAAACTGGATTCATGTTAAAACACACAAAAATAAATTTTCTTTATTAAGCTTGATAAGGTGCTACTCTTTTCTACATCCATAAGAATTTGATAAGAAAAACATAATTATACACAATGGTAAAATAAACGTCGTCGTAATTAGGTTTTAGCTTTGAAATGCCAAACTTGAAGAGCTAAAGAAATTATACTATTAAAAATGAAATCACTATTCAAGAACTTTACCCTTTCATCAATTGTTTATTTTGCTTACAATATAAACCAGTGCCTTGTATATCGACGACGAATATTAATAACTATACACAATACATCACTTTGAATTTTGATCCAAGATGATAATATAAAAACAGAAAACTGATCCAATCCCAAAATCTCTTTCTTTCCCATATGAATGGTCAATAATTTATCTGTGTTGAATGCATTGTATGATTTTAGACAACACTTTGAAACTATATTATAGGTAACTCTTTTCTATTTGATGTGTTTCAGTACCACTCATAGATTCTGGTTAGCAAGATTATTCAGAAGCTAAGTTGACCAAACGTGTTTTCAAAATGCAACACAAAATACTGTAGCGGTAGAAAATGAAAAAAAGTATAATGAGATTTTACTCGCTGCACCGACAGATTCTCACATGCCACGAAAAAGGACAATTACTCAGATTGTATCAAAGCCTTTGAACAGACTAGTGCGCAAAGGTTTTAGTGTTGAGTGGCTTCCTTTCATGTTTCTAGTAACATATTTAACCAGCTTCAATAAGAACGATGGAATTCAAGCAATATGTTTGCTGGATTCCCATATGAATCGCAAAAATGTCAAGTATTTTATCGAATACGATGACAATAACGTCAATAAAATGAGATAGTTGTTGTCTTAAATTGAGAGAAGGTCCACTGGAAACATTTTTATAAATATAATTGTAATGCTAATCGTTAAGGTGAACATCTTCAATAATATACTTTGTTGTAACACCTAGATCATAAAACACTATAAAACTAATAAAAACTGTCTGGAATAGAAAATTCATATAATATTATTGGATTAGTATTTCATTTGTTATCTGAAAAAAGTACTAAAACATAACGATGTAGTAAGTCGACAATCTACAGAACGTAAACCTTTAATTACAATATAGAGGAAATTTAAATGATAAAATATTGTCTTGGTAGCCCAAGAAATGAGGATGTACATCTACAAAAGCATTTTGCCCGTTAGTTATTGTGTTTACATTTTATGCAACTGAACTAGCTATATAGTATTTAACTTACAGCCCTGGGAAAATTATGATTTCGTTTTCATATAATAACTAATATGAAAATAGTATTTTAATACTTAAATAATTTTCATTGAAATTGCGACCATAGAAAGTGGGTATTTTAAGCCAAGTATGAGTGGAGATGAGTGTAGGACGAGTGGCGCGATCCTGGTGTGTCCAAAACATATTATGTTTAAGAATACTGAAACGGTAAACAACAGCGCTCTTCAGAATTAATTCATCCACAATGCTCAACAATCTGTAATACTTTAATCTAGTTGTTTACTTCATGTCCGTAAAGGATAACCTACCTAGCTCAGAAGGTCTCGAAATTATGGTAGAAACATACAGGTTTTTAAAAACATTCTTTATTTTCATTTGTTCTTCTTAATTCCTCAGTTACTTTTTGTCTGCATACATTACCAGAAATACAGACTGCATACTGTCTTACACTACCACAAAATCATACTTAGTTGATGGTTCGTCTTACTCTGTGCTATTCTGTGTTACTCTATGTCACAGAGAGTCGCCACCAAGGTTTGCACGGAGGTGGGAGATTGGTTCTTCAACAGTGGGACCAACGCTACATGGACCAACTATACACAGTGTTACACCAGTCGTATGACCAAAGTAGTCACAATCCTATAGTTACACTGTGTTATTCTCTATTACTCTATGTCACAGAGAGTCGCCACCAAGGTTTGCACGGAGGCGGGAGATTGGTTCTTCAACAGTGGTACCAACGCTACATAGACCAACTACACACAGTATTACACCAGTCGTATGACCAAAGTAGTCACAATCCTATAGTTACACTGTGTTATTCTCTATTACTCTATGTCACAGAGAGTCGCCACCAAGGTTTGCACGGAGGTGGGAGATTGGTTCTTCAACAGTGGGACCAACGCTACATGGACCAACTACACACAGTATTACACCAGTCGTATGACCAAAGTAGTCACAATCCTATAGTTACACTGTGTTATTCTCTATTACTCTATGTCACAGAGAGTCGCCACCAAGGTTTGCACGGAGGCGGGAGATTGGTTCTTCAACAGTGGTTCCAACGCTACATGGACCAACTACACACAGTATTACACCAGTCGTATGACCAAAGTAGTCACAATCCTATAGTTACACTGTGTTATTCTCTATTACTCTATGTCACAGAGAGTCACCACCAAGGTTTGCACGGAGGCGGGAGATTGGTTCTTCAACAGTGGTTCCAACGCTACATGGACCAACTACAAACAGTATTACACCAGTCGTTTGACCAAAGTAGTCACAATCCTATAGTTACACTGTGTTATTCTCTATTACTCTATGTCACAGAGAGTCGCCACCAAGGTTTGCACGGAGGTGGGAGATTGGTTCTTCAACAGTGGGACCAACGCTACATGGACCAACTACAAACAGTATTACACCAGTCGTATGACCAAAGTAGTCACAATCCTATAGTTACACTGTGTTATTCTCTATTACTCTATGTCACAGAGAGTCGCCACCAAGGTTTGCACGGAGGCGGGAGATTGGTTCTTCAACAGTGGTTCCAACGCTACATGGACCAACTACACACAGTGTTACACCAGTCGTATGACCAAAGTAGTCACAATCCTATAGTTACACTGTGTTATTCTCTATTACTCTATGTCACAGAGAGTCGCCACCAAGGTTTGCACGGAGGCAGGAGATTGGTTCTTCAACAGTGGTACCAACGCTACATGGACCAACTACACACAGTGTTACACCAGTCGTATGACCAAAGTAGTTATACGTTTCCCGGAGCTCAGAAACTCTTCCTTAATTGCTGTAAGTCCCTTACGAAATGAATGTCATGGGTTTACCGCTATAATAATTGTTTAAATAACTTCTTGATCAGCATTGTACGTGTTATTAAATTTACGGAAAGTAAATAAAAGAAACGTCTTATAACACTTAAAACATATATTTACGCTTATACTGTTACTCACAAGACGGTAAATATACAAAAACGATGGTAAGTGGTGATCGATTTCGATTGGACACTCCAATCATCATCAGACCCAATAGGCGAATGACAAGAATCTTGAATGGCGTCCCTACTTATACCCTATTGGCTACCGGAAGCACCGGCCAATACATTTTTATAAGTACAACTGGAATCAAAATGTATTTGTTCATTAATCAACTTATTTCTATCTTTACATTTTTCCTTATAAATATACAATTCTTCCCAAGCATTCATTACATATCCTTTCTTACAATTCTTTAAAATATCTAGACTATCCTCCATTTTTCCTAGTGAGTGCCCATTTTGTAACAGGTGTTGTGCGACATTTGATCTTTCCGGTTTGTTGTTCCTCCACGCAGATATGTGGTTTTTGAAGCGGTTTACGAAGTTCACAGTCTGTCCAATGTAGAAGCTATCACAATCGTTACTATTGATTTTATATATGCCCGAAGTGTCAAATTTGTTACAATCTTCTATTTTTGGATGCAGTATTTTACTCATGGTGTTCTGAGTCCTGTAGGCTATTGAAACTCCGTATTTCTTGAATCTGTTAGCAGTCCTTTGTGTTGTAGTCCCCGTGTAGCTAAATGTGATATATCTGGTGCTTTCCTCTTTTATCTCTTCTAATGTTGTTCTGCTGTGTAGTGTATTCTGTCTATCAATTTTTCTCCTCGTCTTCCTTGCGATGTCCTCTATCGTCTTGGTTCGAAATCCATTCACTTGGGCGATCTTCTTAATGGTGTCCAGTTCTTTTTTCCTATTGGCTTGGCTAAGTGGGATCTTATAGGCTCGGTACAGCATAGATCTAAAGGCTGCGGTCTTGTGGATTGTCGGATGGATAGACTTGTTGTTGATTGTAGTGTCCGTTTGCGTAGGTTTCCTGTAGATGTCAAACTCTATCTTGCTGGCTTTTCTCTCTAATGTGAGGTCCAGGAAGTTGATCTTTTTGTTTTCTTCAAACTCGTTGGTAAAGGTGAGGTTTGGGTGGTGGCTGTTTAGTGTCTGCATCATCGTTTCGTGCTCCTGCTCCTGGGCTTGTCTGAAGATAACAAGAATGTCGTCTACATATCTAACATACAGTTTTACATCATGATTCTTTCTTAAATTCATTAACATTTCTTTTTCCTGGTGCTGTAAAAATATTTCTGACAAAATTGCCGAAAGTGGACTTCCCATAGCTAAACCATCTGTTTGTTCGTAAAATCTATTGTTAAATCTAAAATAATTTTGCTTCAAAACAGTCACAAGCAATTTTACAATCTGATTGACATATTCATCATCTAAACTATTCTGCAAAAGCCTACATTTAACAAGATCTACAGTTTCCGATACAGGTATGTTTGTGTACAGATTTGCGATATCAAATGAGATTAGCCTACTATTCGAATCTATATCTATGTTCTTTACACGTTCAACAAATTCATAACTATTCTTTACATTGTATACATATTCTAATTCTAAATCATTGCTGAGCTTACTTGCTAACAATTTTGAAACATTGTAGGTAGGAGCACATTTAAAGTTAACTAATGGTCTGATGGGTACATTCTTCTTGTGTATTTTTGGGATCCCTTTCATCACGGGCGCTTTAGAATTTAGGATGTTCATCTTCTGTCGACATTCTTCGGGAATCACTCTGGTGCATCTCTTCACGACGTCGGACAGCTCTCTTTGGTACCTCTGCGTTGGAAAAAGAAATGTTAATGAATTTAAGAAAGAATCATGATGTAAAACTGTATGTTAGATATGTAGACGACATTCTTGTTATCTTCAGACAAGCCCAGGAGCAGGAGCACGAAACGATGATGCAGACACTAAACAGCCACCACCCAAACCTCACCTTTACCAACGAGTTTGAAGAAAACAAAACGATCAACTTCCTGGACCTCACATTAGAGAGAAAAGACAGCAAGATAGAGTTTGACATCTACAGGAAACCTACGCAAACGGACACTACAATCAACAACAAGTCTATCCATCCGACAATCCACAAGACCGCAGCCTTTAGATCTATGCTGTACCGAGCCTATAAGATCCCACTTAGCCAAGCCAATAGGAAAAAAGAACTGGACACCATTAAGAAGATCGCCCAAGTGAATGGATTTCGAACCAAGACGATAGAGGACATCGCAAGGAAGACGAGGAGAAAAATTGATAGACAGAATACACTACACAGCAGAACAACATTAGAAGAGATAAAAGAGGAAAGCACCAGATATATCACATTTAGCTACACGGGGACTACAACACAAAGGACTGCTAACAGATTCAAGAAATACGGAGTTTCAATAGCCTACAGGACTCAGAACACCATGAGTAAAATACTGCATCCAAAAATAGAAGATTGTAACAAATTTGACACTTCGGGCATATATAAAATCAATTGTAACGATTGTGATAGCTTCTACATTGGACAGACTGTGAACTTCGTAAACCGCTTCAAAAACCACATATCTGCGTGGAGGAACAACAAACCGGAAAGATCAAATGTCGCACAACACCTGTTACAAAATGGGCACTCACTAGGAAAAATGGAGGATAGTCTAGATATTTTAAAGAATTGTAAGAAAGGATATGTAATGAATGCTTGGGAAGAATTGTATATTTATAAGGAAAAATGTAAAGATAGAAATAAGTTGATTAATGAACAAATACATTTTGATTCCAGTTGTACTTATAAAAATGTATTGGCCGGTGCTTCCGGTAGCCAATAGGGTATAAGTAGGGACGCCATTCAAGATTCTTGTCATTCGCCTATTGGGTCTGATTATGATTGGAGTGTCCAATCGAAATCGATCACCACTTACCATCGTTTTTGTATATTTACCGTCTTGTGAGTAACAGTATAAGCGTAAATATATGTTTTAAGTGTTATAAGACGTTTCTTTTATTTACTTTCCGTAATAATTGTTTAACTAATAAATTAATTATAAAGTACAGTAATATGATGAATACAGTAATGATAATACAATATTGATATATAGATAGAAACAATCTATGTTTTGTGACCATACTAATAAAATTTTGAAAGCAAATTAAAAACCCCCAGCAATACAGTACAAGAATGTATACAGGGTTAGTAAAAAGTGTGGAGACTCCCTGTTATTTTTTTAACGGCCCATACTAGAAAAACTAATCTCGGCACACCTTTATGACATGTTATGAAGTACTTTTTGGGCATAACCGTCACTTGGTGTACATCCCCAAAATGGGGGATTTTGGGGGAAACTCAAAAACTGCAAATACAAAGACCCATCGAGTGACCCCTCATTTTGAAGGTCCTCGTAAAAGAAAACCAACAAAGCAAACTAGAGGTATCTATCTCATTTCAGTAAAAAATGGCAGCCAATTGAAATTCTCAGAAGTTCAATTTAACTTACAGCTTTCCAAATCTGGAGACCCACTGTAAATTTTGTAGCGGCTCACACTAGGAAAACTAAACTCTACACACCTTTTTGGCATGTTATGAAGTACTTTTTAAGCCTAATAGCCACTTGCTTACCAAACCCAAAATGGGGGATTTTGGGGGAAACTCAAAATTTTTAAATGATAAGCTTCATCGAGTGACCCTTCATTTTGAAGGTCCTGGTAAACGAAAACTAACAACGCAAACTAGAGGCTTCTATCTCAATCCAGTAAAAAATTGAATCTGATTGAAATCTTTGTAAATCAGTAATAACTAGCAATTTTATATTCAATTAGCTGCCATATTTTACTGTGTTAAGAGAGACCTATAGTTTGCGTTGTTACTTTTCTTTTATTATGACCTTCTAAATGAGGGGTCACTCGATGGGGCTTATCATTAAAAATTTTTGAGTTTCCCCCAAAATTCCCCATTTTGGGTTTGGGAACTTATGAGAATTTCAAATGGCTGCCATTTTTTACTGAAATGAGATAGATACCTCTAGTTTGCGTTGTTGGTTTTCTTTTACCAGGACCTACAAAATGAGGGATCACTCGATGGGTCTTTGTATTTGAAATTTTTGAGTTTCCCCCAAAATCCCCCATTTTGGGGGTGAACGCCAAGTGTTGGTTATGCCCAAAAAGTACTTCATAACATGCCATAATGGTGTGCCGAGTTTAGTTTTTCTAGTATGGACCGTTGAAAAAATAACAGGGGGTCTCCACACTTTTTACTAACCCTGTATAACCGAAAGCAAATATAGAGTTCAATCTGATTGTTGAACATCAGTGTTTGCAAATGTGGCTTTATAATTTATCAATTTATTTGCTGTACGTTATTTCATATCTAACACCATTACACGAACTGCTCAGAGTGATCCATTTTTATTACCAGCTAATATGTTATTTTCAAACAAATCAATACCTCTATTGGCCACAATTTGCTATGGCACCTGAGAAGGTCAGGCTGTAAGTATTGAAGTTATATACATTGCACACATGTTTTATGATAATTCAAATACAAACCAATGCTTCTTATCCGTTAATCCAGAAACCATATTTTGTTGAAGCCAATCAATCTACTTAAAACACTCAAAACATAAAAAACTCAAACAACGATATTTTAAATGATTATTTTCACTGAAATTCAAACAAGAGTTTAGGTCATCTCATATACAGGCTGGGCAGGGAAGAATCGGGAAGAATTCCTACTTTTGAAGGTAAATTAAAAGACAACCAAAAATCTTAGAACTAAACTGTATATTGGGATTAATTGGCCACATCTGGAAATTAATTTAATATAAGTTTTATATGTATGTAAAATATTTTTTTTAATTCATGTGGTAGGCTTTATTATGATTTTAGCTTATTATGACGGTAAAGATATGAAAAAGAAAAACACAGCAGGGACACTTTCAAAGCGCGTGGAGCATGCCCTAGCTTAATCCTCAAATACCTTTGTACGATCTATAAGGAAACTGAGTTAAAATTCCTTTGAAATTCATCCTATCATTTCTAAAGGGTTGTGGTTATGAAAATACGCTCACGCTCTTGACACATACTATGTATTTATATGTCGTATTACTTCTTTATAAATGGCGTAATAGTTGTAAACAGGTAATAAAACAGTTCATTTTGTATGACTAGAGATGGTCAGAACGTTGATATTCCAAATATTTGTATACAACTCTGACTATTTTACTTATTACTTAATGCTTTAGTTCTTACACTATGACGAGACTGATTATTATAGATCTTATCTTCTGTCTACACGGATTTGAATTCATAGAATTAACCAAAAATATAACTTACTCTTTCACCAGCCTTAATCATCGCTATTTTAAGTATAATTTGTAAAAAACAATGCTTATTTTACATTTAGCAGCGTAAAATGCTGAACAAACAGGCATCTTGAACACAATATTCTCTAGCGTTGTCAGTTTAAATGAGAGAAGTAGGACAATCTAGCTCAACCTGTAAAGTTTGACATTTTTTAAAGTATTTTGGAATGCGATACATGATTGACAGAAATGCTTTAACATAAATGAAGCTTAATATTACAACCTCTCTTACACTTTGTATACTATTGTTCCAGCAATATGTTCCTTTGGTCAAGACTGTATCCAGGGTCGGCTATGGTGTCTCTCTACTGACCCTTATCGTCGCTTTCTGTATATTTGCTACTTTTAAGTAAGTAAATATAGTATTCAACTAGAATGGCATCGTCCTCATATACATTTATTATTGTCTGTCATTAATGTTTATCGTATCTACTGTATTCATTTAAAACCTAGAGCCAAATGTCAACAATAATGTTCATAGTGGACGGGAGGTCGTATATAACCACGCTTGTCATATATTTTTTTTTATTTCATGTATACTTATAACAAATATATATTTCATACTCTTTATATTTATTAAAACCTTTTTACTATGTCACAGCTTTGATTCTTGCTACATCTTTAATGAATAAATCTTTTATTTGATAAAAAGTATATTCCATTTAGATTAAATGTGTATTTTGTAATTATGTAATTTTGTATTGTAATTGTGTATTTGTGGGTTTTGTTGTAATTATACAGTGCGTTAATTATTGGTTGTAAGTAAATAGTGAATAAGTTAAACACGGATCATTCGAAATTTGTTCTAAATACGAACAGAAAAGCTGTACATATTGGCTAGTAAATCCTTTGTAACAAACATATCTCCTGATGAAGTGAGCTTTCAATAGCATCTAGTGTAGGAGTCAACAGATTGCTATTCTGATCAGAGGAACTGGTGTTCCAGACTCGTTCGTTACAAGTACGTCAATGTCTCTATCTGGACTACTAACTACTAACATGGATGATAAAAACGTAAAAGGACGTTTGAGAAATGTATTATTTTATTGTGAAGAAAAGCTAAGTATAATACGAATGTATGATCAAAGATATTGTTGTAATATTAAGCAGATGTTATAATTAACATCTGTTGGTTTATTGACTTTGAATTGTAAATATTTTGAAGGTTCTTGCTTTATAACTGTATCTGAATTAAATAATATACTTTGAATCAAAACTAATGAATTCTCATTAATCTATATACTGTACGGTATTAAAACATGGCGCAGTCGTCGAATGAACCTAATGTTTCCCTTAATGTGCCTCATGAAGCTGCAATTTCCCTAAATGTGAAACCACCAGAACCTTTTACATTCAAACCCAGTGAATGGCCAAGATGGAGAAAACGTTTTGGAAGATACCATTCATTGAGCGGCCTTAAAGAAGCCAGCGGCATAACACAGGTAGATATGCTTATTTACTGCATGGGAGAAAAGGGAGAACAAATACTCGATTCATTTAAACTAAATGAATCAGATATCAACAATTACAATGTTGTTTTGAATAGGTTTGAACAGTATTTCATTCCAAAAAAGAATATAATTTTTGAAAGAGCTAAATTTTTAAAGCGTAAACAAGGATCAACAGAGTCTATAGAAGACTTTGTAACTGCTCTTCATTCTCTAGCAAAAAGTTGTGAATGGGGACAGATTGAAGAGGAAATGATTTTAATGGTCTTGATAGTTGGTATGCATGACGAACCCCTTAGCGATCGTCTTCAGTTAGAAAATGACCTAAAACTTGACTTTGCTGTAAACACTATTCGGAAGTCTGAGGAACTAAATAAGCAAAAGCATGAACTATCACACTCTGAAGTAGACACAATCACTAAAATGAATCCTAACTTTTCCAACCATTCCCATGCAAACCAAAGTACTAATCAATTTAGTTCACAAAATGATACTTTTCCTAACAAACCCAATAATGCTAAAGCCATTCATAAAAATATCAAATCTTGTTTTTGGTGTGGTTTGACTCCATCTCACCAAAAGTATTTGTGCCCTGCTAGAAACCACACATGTAAACTCTGTGGTAAAGTTGGACATTTCTCAAAAGTTTGTCGATCAAAAAACGTAAACCATGTTGAAACTGACGATTTTAAATCAATTGATAATCTAAACCCTGAATCACAAGACTTTATTGGTTCGGTGACTCCAAGCCAAATTTATTCATCTAGGCCTACTGATCCATGGACAGTATTATTAAATATCAATGACAGTGACAGTGTTGCATTCAAAATAGATACAGGAGCAGATGTAACAGTCGTGCCATCAGACATTAAATTAAACAGAAGAATTAGATTGTCGCCTACCCTTAAACAGTTTAAAGGGGCTAATGGGCAAGATCTGTCAATTTTAGGGATGGCTACTGTCAAAATGTCATACAAGAATACAACATGCTATGAAACAATATATGTTTCTAAAGGGACTTCTGTTCCTCTTTTAGGAAAACCAGCAATTGAAAAGCTCCAGCTTGTATCTAGAATAAATGAAATAAGTTCTAACTCGTGGTTCGCTAATTACCCAAAACTTTTCAATGGCTTAGGGAATGTTACTGAAAAGTATAAAGTCGAACTAAAAGATAATGTCGTTCCTTATGCTATCAATGCCCCTCGCCGGATCCCCTTGCCTCTGTGGCAGGCTACAAAAGAAGAATTGAAAAACATGATCTCCATGGGAGTCATAGCTGAAGTCCACCATGCAACAGATTGGTGTGCTCCAATGGTTGTTGTTCCCAAGAAAGATTCCAATACAGTTCGCATTTGTGTAGACCTATCAAAATTAAACCGGAGTGTAAAGCGAAGATACTATCCTATCCAACCAGTTGATGTAACTCTAGCTCAAATCTCTGGAGCAACGCTATATTCAAAATTAGACGCCAACCACGGATTCTGGCAAGTCAGTTTAGATGAGACATCACAAGATTTGACCACTTTCTTAACGCCATTCGGTCGTTTCAAGTTTTTAAAATTGCCCTTTGGTATAAGTTCAGCACCAGAGATTTTCCAACAGTTAGTGAACAAGACCCTCAATGGACAAAAGAATGCAGTCGCTCATATGGATGATATCATTGTTTGGGGAAAAACCAAAGAAGAACACGATCATGCTCTTGAAGAAGTACTTGGAAAGCTTCAAAATGCAGGCTTTACTCTAAATAAAGGCAAGTGCCAGTTTTCACAAAAGTCTCTCACATTTTTAGGCCACCAATTATCAAGGGATGGTATCAAAATTGATGAATCAAAGGTGGAAGCCATAACAAAATTGCCTCCTCCTACTAACATAGCAGGTGTGCAAAGATTTATTGGAATGGTAAATTTTGTAGGAAAATATATTCCAAATAAAAGCCAAATACTTAAACCAATTACAGACCTTTTAAGTACAAGAAATGAATTTGTTTGGGGCAAAACACAAAATATAGCCTTTGAAGAGATAAAGTCACTTCTTGCTTCCGCTCCCCAACTGGCGTTCTATGATTCTAGCCGCCCTACCATGGTGTCTGCTGACTCATCTCAAACAGGTCTTGGTGGAGTACTCTTTCAGCAACAAGTAGACAACAAATGGAAACCTATTTCATACATCTCAAGAACACTTACTGAGAGCGAAAAAAACTACTCCAATATAGAAAGAGAAGCCCTTGCTGTAACCTGGAGCTGTGATAAACTAAAACAATACATAATTGGCAAAGACATAATCATTGAAACAGACCACAAACCTCTCGTTAGTATTCTAACAAACAAAGATTTGAATGACCTAACACCCCGTATTCAGAGACTACGTCTAAGACTTATGAGATACTCCTATAGAGTTACATACACTCCAGGAAAACATCTTGCGACAGCCGACTGTCTTTCAAGAAGCCCTCTGCCTTCTAAAGAATCATACTACTTAGAAAAAGAAGTTGAATTTGCTGTTAGTTCAGTAATTACAAATTTGGGTACAACCGATGCTATAATCCAGAAAATATGTGATGCACAAAAATCATGCCCGATTCTCCGAAGAATTCAGCAGTTTTGCTCCTCTGAATGGCCGGACAAATCCAAATTGCCTAATGCATTAAAACCTTACTTCCCAGTCCGCCACGAAATTTCCTTCTGTGAAGGTGTTTTGCTGAAAGGAGATAGACTCATTATTCCTAGTGACCTAAGACTTGATATGCTAAATAGAATTCATTCCGGACATTTTGGAATCAGTAAATGCCGACTTAGAGCAAGTCACAGCATGTGGTGGCCAGGTATATCTTCGGACATAGAACAAACGGTTAATGAGTGTCCTAAATGCACAGAATTTAGATCCCAGCATCATGAACCACTAATGACATCTGAAATTCCTTCTCGTCCATGGGAGAAAGCATGCATCGATTTATTCAAAATTAATGGGACTTGGTTTCTAGTAATGACAGACTGTTACAGTCGATACTTTGAAATAGCAACATTAAAAACATTAACTACAAGTGAGATAATAGAGAAATGCAAATCAATTTTTTGTCGCCACGGAATACCTGTCGAACTTAGATCAGACTGTGGAACTCAGTTTGCTTCCCAGCGGACATGCTTAGAAAATTCTGAGTTTAAAGTTTTTGCACAAAAGTACAACTTCAAACTAACAACAAGCAGTCCCGGACATCATCAAAGTAACGGCTCTGCAGAAGCTGCTGTAAAAATAGCTAAAAGTGTCTTACGAAAGAACAAAGAAGACCCTTACCTTGCACTCCTATCCTACAGGAACACACCCCTTACAGCCAACGGGCTTAGCCCAGCACAACTTTTGTTCAACAGGAGGTTACGAGATAATTTACCTGTATTGCCACAGAAGCTTTCTGAAAGACCTGACTTATCCAGTTTCAAGAAGAGGGAGGAAAAATACAGAGAATCCTACAAAAATCAATATGATAAGCATCACGGTACCAGGGATTTACCCCAGTTGCAACGAGGACAAAAAGTGTGGATCAAAGATCTAAAACGTCAGGGTACAATAACAAACCTAGCCAATGAGCAAAGATCTTATTGGGTAAATACTGAAAGAAACACAGTACGCCGAAACAGATACCACTTGATTCCGTACAAAAGCCAAACCAGTCCTGAACAATCAGCAAGTATTACTCCACTTCCTTTCTCTAAAAATAACGATCAGTCTCCGAAAACTCCTATAGACTTAAACAATGAACGGAGCTTACTCAAAACCCCTACCTCTCAAACCAACAACACTAATCAGAGTAATCAGAAAGCACCAAGACAAGTCTCTAGAAATACCAGTACACCAACTTTCAATACAAGGCTGTTTGTAAACAATAACAATCCTTCTCATTCACAACCAAGTCTCCAATCTAATGAAGAAGTTAGAACAAGGTTTGGAAGAATCGTGAAACCTGTGAAAAGATACGAGGGCAACTAAAAAGGAGAGATGTTGTAATATTAAGCAGATGTTATAATTAACATCTGTTGGTTTATTGACTTTGAATTGTAAATATTTTGAAGGTTCTTGCTTTATAACTGTATCTGAATTAAATAATATACTTTGAATCAAAACTAATGAATTCTCATTAATCTATATACTGTACGGTATTAAAACAGATATATATATATATATATATAGGCATATTCAGGTGAACATAAACATTCTAATTTATTGCAGCTTCTTTGTTGTGTATCTAGGGGTCTGCTTTGTATACGGATGGTAGTTGGTTTAATACAGTCCTAATACAATTAGGGTTGGTACTATCTGGTTTTTATACTTGACTTTGAAACGTCAAGTCAGGCACGATAAAGCAAGCATTTTTTAAATCTATATTCAATTTATCACCAGGCCTTGACTCTATACTTGGTAAATCGTGACTCAAACTAATTTTAAAACAATCTTTGTTTGAATAAAGGATTCTACTCGTTCAAATTAAATCAAGAAAATATAGTGTGTCACATTTTACTCCTACAAAACAGTCCAATGTTTTATTTCTCTTAGTTAATTTCATTACTCCGCGCTTCAACCATTCGTAAGATGATATTTTTTGAAAATTTCCGTAAATGTTCAAATGTATTATTTTTGCAATAAAACTATTTCGTTAGTCATCAAGGGTCCTAGGACAAAAACTGTAGTTTTTTTTGTCCTAGGACGCTAGGCACGAGCCTGGCATTGTTTTTCACATTAATTCAGGCTAGACCTAGGGGTTGCAGCATTATCACTTAGATAAAATCCATTGAAGATTTGGCGGGATTTGAACCCGGGACCTCAGGAACTCTAATTACTAGACCAGCTTCCTCCCCAAGGGTCTACAATACATCATTTCTTATTTAACTACTTCAATATTGTCTAATTCTAAACAATATTACATTATTACAATTGTTACCATCCCATGTGTGACGTCTTCCTCGGTTGTCAGGAAACTCCGCTGTCCCCGCAACAAGCTGCACATGCATCTGTTCGTGTCGTTCATGATGCGCGCCTTCACCACTCTGCTGAAGGACGCGTTGTTTGTACGAGGGGTCGGCCTGCCTTCGGACCTCGCCTTCTGGGAGGGAGAAGCTTACTTCTTGCATGAGAATGAGGTACATGCTGCATACAGGAAATACATAGTGAGATCTTGCTAAACAGATATGGAACATTAATTTGATTAAGTTATAGATAATAAACAAAGTATTAAGCAAATTTAGCCTAATTTCAATTACAACAATATAGTATTTTATCTTCTAGCCGTATTGCATCCTTTATTAAAATAACCCTACACAGCTGTTACAATTTTCCCTACGTAAATTAATGTTACTGTTGTGACTAGCAAAACTGGCAATGCAAGTTGATCATGAGTCTCTGGCAATACTTCATCATGGTCAACTACTCGTGGATTCTGATGGAAGGCATCTACCTTCACAACCTCATATTCCTAGCGGTATTCTCAGATACATCCGCCATCACTGTATACGTTGTCCTAGGGTGGGGTAGGTATTGCATTGCTAATACATAGTTGTATTATAGAAATTAATAGATTATTATGATTTACACGTTGTAAATAGATATAAAGTAGTTCTAAATAGTTTACGTAAAATTCAACCACAATACGAAATATTACTTATTAGACTGGATGACAAAGTTATGACCCTTACACTCTACATTGCAGGTCTGCCTCTATTGTTCGTTGTACCCTGGGTGACTGTTCGAATGTTATGGGAGAACACCCTGTGCTGGACAACCAACAACAACCCTAACTACTTCTTGCTCATCAAGGTCCCCACTACCGTCTCTATACTGGTAAGTAGACACATGACACTTTGTATCTTTATTGCTATTTTATCACCTAATTCATTTGTTGTAATTATACAGTGTGTAAATTAAGTATTGAAACAAATCTATATTTTTTACACCGAAATAGAGAGAAATATTCTGTTTGTGGCATTGATTTTTAACATAGGATCCGTCATTTTTACATCAAAAATATATGTTAACCCCTCTAACAAGGTAGAGGGTAGGGGGTGACTTATTTTTTCAAATAGCAACCCCTATTTATTCACCCCTCATTTCAAAGGGGTTGTTAAAAGAAATACAATGACGCAAACCTGAAGTGGATATCTTACCCCTAGCCAAAATGGCAGGTATTCCAAAATTTGATTAATGAAAAAAAGCACCAATTTCACAAATATGGAAACAAATCTGTATTTTTTTACCGTAATAAATAGAAATATTATGTTCGTGGCATTTGTTTTTAACAAAGGATCTGAAATTTTTTACATCAAAAGTACGTTTTAACCTCCCTGACAGGGTAGGGGGTAGGGAATGACTTATTTTTTTTCAAACAGCAACCCCTATTGAGTTACCCCTAATTTTGAAGGGGTTATCAAAAGAAACACGATGACGCAAACCCGAAGTGGATATCTCACCCCTAGCCAAAATGGGAGGTATCCAAAATGTTTATTAATGAGAAAAAGAACCAATTTCACAAATATGGGACAAATCTGCATTTTTTAACAGAAATAGATAGAAATATTCTGTTCGTGACATTTAATTTTAACAAAGGATCCGAAATTGTTTGCATCACAAATATTTTTTAACCCCTTTAACAGGGTAGCTGGTGGGGTGACTTTTTTTTTAATTAAAACTCCTATTGAGTGACCCCTTATTTTGAAGGGTTTGTCAAGACATAAGCAATGGTGCAAACCTGAAGTCAATATGTCACCCCTAGCCAAAATGGCAGGTATATAAAAATTTGTTTGGGTGAAAAAGCACCCATTTCACCAAGTCAAATTTTTAAATACCGTGTTTCAGGGCTTATTGAATAATGAAATGCCTTTAAAACACTCAAGAAAACATCTCGATATGAAAATAATAAAAAAACACGAATGTTTTTAGACATTTATTATAAGAATAAATCTACTTATTTACAGTATCTGAATCACGTCGTTTTTAGATACTGTATAGGTTATTTAGAGTGGTTTACCATTTCAATCAGAAAAATATAAATAAAGTAGGTACCGAAGCTAATTTAAATTTAATTTTCATGTTACTATATTTGAATTTGACTGTCGTAAAAAAATTTATTGGAGGTATGAATGTAATCAGTTTGTAGATTACAAATTTAAATTTTTTACCAATATAAGCTGCTTTAGCATCTTGAAACAAATTAAAGACTTTGTGTTTTCAAATATTTTATTTAGGAAATAAGTAAATCGTTATAATTGGTTTAGTAGGACAGGTGGTAAAGGATTTTACAGAGAACCCCATTAAGGGGTTTATTGTATGTATGTTGATATGTTAGTGAGCAATCAAAAAAATAATACCATTTTATTTAGATTTGTCGTATGAATTACTGTAAATATTCGTTTCATGTCAAAGCACACTTTTTGTTCCAATAGTTCTGTTAAATACTACATACTTTTTGTCTGGCATCATACAGTAAATCTATAGTATAACCGTTATCATTTTATGATCTGCAAGATATTTAACAAAATTACTGATATTTCTAGTGCACCAAATACCTTATGTGTTGAAACTGTTCGCATAAAAAAGGCTGCGTACAGCGGGGAAGCGCGGGAATTCCGTTATCATAAACCTTTCATGCGATACAACAATTGGAGTTGAGAACAACATGGCTTGCAAACTACAGTGGGGTGAATTGCTGGGGCGTTTCATTATAGCAAAATACTGGAGTGTTATATTGGACCGAGCCCAAACGTTTATCCACTTTTAAAACTTAGGTTATTGGAAAGTAGTGGCAGGAAAACAAAGTTAGTAAACTTTTGGCTCACACTTTACTCTGATACTATTAAGATATTTGGAGGAAGTTTGCGTTTACAATAACAGAGGTCTCTGCCTACTTGTCTCCATTCTGATATTATTCTTTGGTTATAGTAATATTGCGAATGCTATGAGGGTGATTCAGAATATTAATAAACTGAAAAAATAGAAAGCTCTAAACATTTGCGTGGTTACTTGTGAACAAATGTATACATATTTTATTAAGTAGAGCCATTATAAATTTAATAATTTGAGAACTTTCCATTACTCACAGACCTTTTATGAAAATAAAATCTAAATTATCCCGGTTAAAATTTTAGTATTTGTTTTAAACCTGACCTGGTTTAAAAACTTGCTATCGGTCTTACCTAAACTTAAGCCGTAAGGAAAGTTTAAAATGCTGTAACGTATTAGCATTTTTACATTCAATGCTAATCTATCCTACAATGTTGTTAATGTTCATTAATACAGATCATAACTAGTTAATATTTTATACGTCGAAGTATACATTATTTATCACATTAGTTCTACGACAGTTATAAAAACTCTGTAACAATAGTGTCCAAACAATATATTTCGTAGTAATATAAGTAATAATAAGAAATATAATACTCATCCAGATAATCAAAATGTCTAGTTACAGCAGACATTAAGTCTTGAAATAATTACAATAATAAATGGCTAAGATTACCAATATATGTATACACACATGGTGTCCTTATTGTGAATGACCCATTTAAAAATCACATTCACTCCTACAAGAGTACAATCACTTACATTTATTATATTCCAGGTAAACTTCGTCCTATTTATAAATATCGTGAGGCTTCTGTTGTCAAAACTGATGGCTGCAATATCAGAGGAATCACGCAGGTTTAGGTACAGGTAATAAGCATGATACTTTCTTTGAAATGTTATAAAACAACCTACTCATACAGAAAACACATGGCAACACCAATTTATCAGCATATACATTGCGTTTAATTTGTTTTAATAACAAAAGTATTGTTACGAAAATCAATTGGGACCAAATAAAAAAATCTTTTGATCAACCAAATGTCAAATATAAAATATAAAATTTAACAATGTGGAATAAAAATTTACTATCCGTAAGAAAGGTTGTAAAGCTGGGTCATGATTCACTCTAAATGGGAAATAATCTTGATTTTTTTACTAATTAATTCTCTAAAAATACGCTATTTTTATCAGAACAAATTTTCTATCGTCTGCTATTTTAACTTGTTTGTTTTAGCGTCTGTTTGTATCACTTACAACTACACCGTGTGTTGCTTGCATGGCTTTACTACTCTCGTGTACAACATTTCCTTGTTTGTTTTAGTGTCTATTTGTATCACTTACAACTACACCATGTGTTGCTTGCATGGCTTTACTACTCTCGTGTACAACATTTCCTTGTTTGTTTTAGTGTCTGATTGTATCACTTACAACTACACCATGTGTTGCTTGCATAACTTTACTACTATCTTGTACAACATTTCCTTGTTTGTTTTAGTGTCTGATTGTATCACTTACAACTACACCATGTGTTGCTTGCATGGCTTTACTACTCTCGTGTACAACATTTCCTTGTTTGTTTTAGTGTCTATTTGTATCACTTACAACTACACCGTGTGTTGCTTGTATGGCTTTACTACTCTCGTCTGAAACATTGCCTTGTTTGTTATAGTCTTTATTTGTACCAATAACTACTACACAGGCCCTCTGTGTTCTGCTTGTAAGGCCCTCATCTACACTGTGTAGTGTGTACTTGTTTGTTTAATTTAGAATGTGTTTTTTTGCAAAAAACCTACGACGTGTTATGTTTGTGAATCTTTTTTCGTGCCGCAGATAAGTAAGGTATGCGTGTACAATGTGTAATATGTGTGTCTTGTTTACACTATGTGCTGCATTGGGAGACTCTATATGTGTAATATAAAATTTTGGCCTTGGTCTGGAATTTAGTGTGTGTGCCAGTTGCTATATTTTTTACCTGAGTTTGCCAGACTGTATCACTCAAGGTTTCGATTGATTTTGTCAACTTGTGTTTGGTATTACGGCGTAAATGTGTGTATTTCATTATTTTTGTTTGAAATCACTCTTACGTCCAATGTTGCTTTTGAGGCTCGTACTACTTATTACAGTCGTAGTGTGTCAGTTGTGACACTAACGAGTACGACGTGTGTTTGCCAGTGTGTTCCGTGTGTACAGGAGATGGGCAAAGTCCACGCTGGTGTTGGTTCCGCTGTTCGGGGTCCACTACATCGTGTTCCTCATCATGTCCTACATCGGAGTGGAAGAGAACGTTGAGATCGTCTGGCTCTTTATTGACCAACTATTTACGTCGTTTCAGGTATGTGGATTAAAATGTTCATCAACTGTAAAGTATTTACAACCCACCCCCTCAAATAATCGGTTCGTGTTCAGTTAATCAACAAATTAAAACAATTTTTCTGATCATGAAACTTAGTGAACGATATATTTAATTAAATCCAGTATGAAAGCATCAACTGAGGCGTTTAAAAATTTCATAACAATAACTTTGAACACATTTTAATGGTTTAAGCAAAAGCTCTTTACGATAAAAGATAAAACTATTACTATACACTTAGGTAAGACACTTGATAAAAAATACGATATTACAAATTTTAACCAGTTGGTATAAATCAAACCAGAAAGGGCGGCGGAAACAGATGACTTCGTGAGCTGACTGCTAGCTGTGTTACAATAACCATTCGACAATGATCGAGGGCGAGATATTTGTGGCAGAAGGTAAAAGTAATGGCAGCGATGGGTAGGGAGAATACAAACAAGGCTCAATAATTCTTTGGTTAAAAAACTCCTAACGATAATCGGTTCTTTTAAGTTGATGTTTGTTTTTCCCAGTCTAACTAGATTATTTATTTAAATTTATTGTTACGACTGATTGAAACAAAGCTTATCGTTTACTTTAAAATAAAAATATTACAGGGGTTCCTTGTTGCGATCCTGTACTGTATTCTGAATGGTGAAGTGAGGTCTGAGATCGGAAAGCAGTGGAGAGGGTTGCCACTGTGGAGGGCCCGTGCTGCTTCCCTCCCTCTCAACATGTTCCCCCACCATCGCCACTCCCACCCCTCCCAGGGCTCAGGCGGCTCAGGGTCCTACCTGGCGAGGATGTTTGGCCGCCGCCACTCTAGCAGACGCTACGGCAACGGCTGCAATCGAGAAAGTATGTATGTAGTAGTACTAAGCGGCTGTAGTTAAGTCAACAGTATATGGGTCTTATAGGATGTTAACGAAATCTAGATTCCTAAGTGGTACGGTATGGCAAGTTTAATGCGCAACTATGGTTCATGGCAGCTCTTACTCCCACAGTAATAATATGCAGTAAAGCTTCAGTTGGACATTTGGGGGCCAATAAATTCTCTCTGTAATGCAGACAATAATGCGTTAGGTAGTGGTTTAAGTAAACTTGCATACATTTGAACTGGGCTAATTCCACTGCCACGATGCAAAAGTTAATGATTTTAGTTAGTGCCATGAATTTGGTGATTTTTACTTTCGCTTACCAACAATAAGTTGTGATTCCAGAGGATGCATGTGCCACTACAATGATGTCTAGTGTCACCAACGACGCCAACGCAGGCTCAGTCTCCCTCCCACACATATGACGGTCATCTGGTGAGCAATCATTTCTATATATTTTGTATTTTCATAATTCTATAACTTGTATTTAATTGCAATATATTTGTGTGGGAATCTAGTAATGATTACAAGTAGCGTTGTAAGGGTTTGTGTTCATCTGATTAAGTTTGTTTGTTTCAGGTCTATAATGTGGATCATTGGAAGATAGAGAATAGAACAAGATAAATTGTCCATTAACTCATATGATTTAGAATTTGTATCATGGTTTGTCTACAATAAAATTTTAAATTCATGGAAAAGCTAGGATTAAAGTGGACTATATTTTGTATTGGAAAACAACTTGTTATAACGATACTTTTTTAAGATTTTGTAACATTAATAAGTTTTAATACGTTTGTTACAATGAAAATGTGACTATTTTTGTAATATATTCTTTACACATTTTACCTGATACAACAGCATGAGTTTGGTACTATTCTGTAAATACTCTAAATGGTAAATTTAAATATGTATAAACTAAGGAATATATGTGTGTAAAAAATATGTATGATGACTGTATCCACGCTCATTAACTGCATGAATCTAAGTAAAACTCTATTGTGTACATTATTTATATTTTGATGTTATTCTCCTCTGAATAGTTTGTGATAGTCGTAAGTTTTATCAAAAAACATAAAATTTCAGAAATCAATCAAATAACTGTCAAAATGTATTTTATATTAATTTATTGTAACTTAATTTTTTATTATAAAAAATCAAATTTTAACTCGAATTATTTTGTTGATAGATGCCAATGTAATGAGCAAGAGCTAAGGGTAACCATTAAAGAATATAACGATAAAGAGAAGATTCTGATTTCATATTATAAAAATATGACGCTAACTATTTAAAAGTCATAATTCGTATGATTTAAAAATGAACAATCACTTTCTTTAATAAGATTGAAAATCAATCTTATGCTTATGTTAATTGGGATTAATGTTAATCTTAAGTTTATATATAGATGATATAAGACACAAACTATGCAATCAAAAATAATACTACATGGCAATAAAAACAAATTGTAATAAATATTTTGTTTATTAAACGAGATTAATAATAATGTTAATGTTGATAAAAAAACTAACGTAGTACAAAGAGCAATAAAATGAATTCTACAATATATTACATGTTCAAGGTTGTTGGGGCATAAACGAAACACATCATATTAATTGAAATAATACTCGTATTATAACAATATTCATGTTCTACGAACGATATGTACAGACAACAAGTTCCATTATTTTCTTGCGTGTACCACATTTCTAATTACTAATTGTTGCATAAAAGGACAAATCTTTTTTAAATGTCTAAATGTGTCAATATCAAAGCCAATGTAAAATTTGTATTTTTGTATTTATTTTGATAATTTGTTTTGGCCAAGACAATATAATGTCTTAATGTACTAAATTTGAACATGTTGTGTCAGAATTAAAAAACAGAATTTGCATGCAACCCGTAATATTTAACATTGTTAAACACTTCGACTCACCAACAGTGTTGTTATCAATGTGAAAAAGCGTTAATTATTTTTAGATTTTACATATGTTTTGTAAATAAAAATATAAGTGAATTTCAAAACAAATATTTTATTTTCACCAACATTCACTGTAGGGATCTTTATCAATAAAACACCTTGTTACTTATTAATTATTAATTAGTATATCAGAAACGTTGTAGAATAAAATATAATCTTGATAAGAATTTTCTTAGTAAATCGTTTCTTTAGGTAAAGTTCGGTCAATGGAAAGTATATCGCTACTTCAAAGTTTGTCAACACTTCGTTATTCAAACATCAAACAGGGAAAACTCTGCATTAGTGCAAAGTTTACGGAAATAACTCTTAGTTTGAAGTGATGCAGAGAAATCTGAACAGAACAGAGATAGTTTGATGTCTCATTTTCACAGAATTGCCAACAAAGAAAAAATAGCATAGAAAAAAACAACCTATCGAAACTGCGCTAAACAAAGATTTGTTAAAGGCACAGAAAGTTGACCACCCACTTATCGTTAAAACTAAGAAAAAATCACCGCCTTCTTTAGTTTTATTACAAATTCTCATGTATAATCGCTGTGCAACTGTGATGCATATTTACTTGAAATATTTCGTTGAATGATTATTACGTGGAATTCTAAGCTGAAAAAAGTTAAGATTATTAAGATGGTTCTATCTTTTGATAGATTAAACAGTGTGGTTAGGTGGCAGCAGCCTTACATTCAATCCATCAAGGCCCCACATCGAAGCATTATGCGTTGCCCTTCAGGGCATCTCGGGCTCTTGATCTATTATTATATATTTAGCACACCTCTTTTATTTTTTTAAACAGATTTGACTTAACTACATACTCGTTGATTTACTCACGTGACAGGGCAATGATCACGTCATTATGTTATCACAACCTCTCCTAGTAATATACCATGAGATTTTACAAAGGACATCTTCAGAATAAATAATCGTTACTTTAAAAAAGGACATATTGATTAATCATGACAAGTTATAAAACAATTCAAACAGAATATGCAAATCGTTATTATAAATTCATGACGTAGCTTTTAAATTTGTACGATCAAACAATTTTAAAAACAAAATACTTAAAATATGTCAGTAATACCCTAAGGATAATAAAATTATTATTATTAATCAAACCTTAGCAAAGAAAAGTATTTGTAAAGTATAATGTAACACAAAAAAGTAATTAACGAAGACATTAAACGTGTAGTTTCGGAAATAGTTTCTGTCAAAGTAACTGCAATATTTCCCAGAATTGGAATTCATTAGTAATTCTAAAAATAAACATGATTGCAGAAAGCTTTATTAAAACAAAATACCTATTTCAAATTTTTTAATATACTACTCTTGTCTTTACTTTACAATACCAGCAGAAAAAAAAACTTATTTATTAACACTTTTTGTCTGGTAGATTGAAACATTTTTTTACTACCAAACAAAATATAACTATAGGACACTTGTGTTGCCTTCTCTTATAGTTAAATGTTGCCAATACTTTATAAAGATTTAGTGTATCGTCTATGTTTTAAGCAATGCTTAAAAGCCGCAAATATTTGAAATATGTCATAACTAGGAATTTCGAACCTGAGCTACAATCATACAAATTCGTGGAATCATACAATGTCTTTGTAACTCTGCCAGGCAAAGTACTCATCCGTTCACATACCTCGTGGCAGAGTTCAAGTTACAAGGAAATAATATTAAGTTTTACACTGTAAACAATGTTCTTGTAACCAGAGAATGAGCTTTAGCACATCAAATAGACGTTTATTACGGTACAATCCAATCACATATACGGTGTTCCAAGTACGTTTATAGCCAAACTGCGGAAAACTATTCTATGGGTCAAAATAAAGAGAAAAATCAAGAATTACGTTTTCCCTAAATGCTTTGTTAAACATATATTCTCCATTTTGTTTTTTACGTAAACATTTTTGTCTTTGAATATTCCAACTGATCATAATGAAACTTGGTAAGTATTTTGAGGTAGAAGAAAACAATATTTGATATAAAATTGAGTTTGTCTACTTTAAACATTCAAAATAGTTATCATTTTAATTTTTGTAACTTGGTAATTACCAACTATATGAAAATGTGGTAGGAACACATATATTTAGCAGTATTTTTTTCCTTTCAAAGAACATACAGTTCAAAACGATTGAATTATAAATAGTAGAAAAATTTTTAAAGATTTTTAGTGGAAAAATAGGAGAAATAAGACTAAGCTAAGTCAGAGTGCGCCTCATTTTGCATTATTTTACGTTTAAAAACTAGAGCCCAACAAAACAGTTAAGCTAGAAGAACTTAGCTAAAATTTACAAAGTTTCTGTAATGAATAATTCACATCATCTCTGTAAGAAATCAACCACAACAATAATCTACAGGGATGATAAGGGGCTGATCGTGGGGAAGGGGAGGGGGGGGGGTGGAGCCACCAATCCAGGCTGGGTAATGGAGCAGCGCCTTCCGCAGACGATTTCCTCTCGAGGTTAAAAGTTAAATAAATCTGCAACAGGCATGTTTTTGTCATAAATAGTTGTAAAATAGCTATAGCTAGTTTTTAGAATCAGAAAGATTTTTTTATTATTAGCTGCAAATTAATGCAAGATAAACCATTTAACAAATGATTTAAATCATCTACTGAAATTATTTAGTATTACAATTATGTTACTTTTACTATAAAGGTTATCAATGCTTGTACAAAATAGATGGATATGTTAATTATCTTGTATTGTATGACATTTTTCACTGTCATATAGTGACTGTTTTAAAAGAATCACTGCTAATGAAAAAGTATCTGGTGGAAGAAAAAATGATTGGGAAAATATCGAAAATCTTTTGTTTTAAGCTCAACATTTAGTTTAATAAAGTGTTAAAACTAATAAAGTGTAGAAGGAAATTTTTTGCGTTTAATTATTCATTTTTCAAATTAATATCTATGTAAATAGACGTCAAAGTTTTGACGAAATTTTTTTTATAATTATGCTCTTATAAACAGAACAAAGTTTTTTCAAGGGTATGGATAATGAATAAGTCTTATTGGCCTCGTTTTTCAAAATGGGCTATACAAATACATAATATTTAAAATACTCTCTTAGTTGTTTGTAGTTCTTAGTAGTCATTTTGTCAATCAGTAAAATACTGTCTTAGTTGTTTGTCGTTCTTAGTAGTCAGTAGTCAATCAGCAATTTTAGTATTTTTAAACAAATACATTTATAAGTTTTTTTTACGATACTACAAACAACCAATACTTAGTGTATAGTGACATTGCGAATATTGCGAATTGAAGTCACAATTGTAGTACCAGTCGTATTTGTCGTGTGTTTGAAAGCAAACTTCATATTCTATCTTTTGGCCGTAATTCGCCTCGACCCCAGGCGTGTTGTCAACGTTTGCTAACAAAATTTTCAAGTAGCATTGTCTTCCTGTAAAATGTTTTATATCATTTATGGTCTTTATGTTTTATATTACTAGTAA